TTGGATTGGGGATACAGCTATGCCTATCTCCAGTTACAAAAGTTCAAACAGGTATTCCTCGCTTAACAATCATTTGTTTAGTGACTGTTTGAAGTTACAATGGTGCTAAAAAAGTGACTTATGACCGATGCTTGAAGTTATGACTGGCGCAGCACCCCTGCGGTCATATGATCGCAATCCAGGCACTTGGCAACCAGTTCTCACTTAGAACAGTTACAGCATCCCGGGGTCTTGTGATCGCCATTTGCGACCTTCCCAGCCAGCTTCTGGCAAGCAAAATCAATGGGGAACCGCGTGATTCACTTAACAGCTGCTTAACAACCATGTGATTCACTTAACAACCATGGTGACTCCCTTAATGACCACCGCAAAAAAGGTTGTAAAATCAGGTCCAGTCACATGGTGATTCATTTAATGACAGCATTGCTTAGCTACTTAAATTCCGATCCCAATTGTGGTCATTAAGCAAGGACTACTACCTGTATGCTTTGAAAACTTTATATTGTAACAACTGGCATTTAAACTACAAATCACAGATTATGCATAAGAGGGATTCTCACTTACAAACATCAGGGACAATTCTAAAGCATACCAAATAAGATGAAATGGGTGCTACTTTAATCCAAGCTAGACCAATTGGTTCAAATTATGAGAAAAAGGGAACCTGACTAAACATTATAAAGGACAACCCAGTAGAAAAGGCTCTCACAGAAGAGAATATATGTAGCTCAGGGCTGAACTGTGGAGATGTTTAATTACCCAGCTAGGTAACATCATCAGTGCAAGTGACTGTAGGGTTTGCTGCCTGTTCATATGTAGTAGCCTGCCAGTTTTGGTGAGGGTGTAGTTTCCTCCTTGGTGGTTCCTTAATTAGAATATTGTTTTCTGCCTGATTGTTTTTCTGGTGCTGATCCCTACTTACCTAAGCGTTGGTTGCTGGAGGGGATGTGTTCTAGTCTTTTTGCTTCTGTCCTAGGTTTTTTATTGTCTCTTTTGAATGACGTACAGTATAAATGTGGTTCATCTCTATGTGTCTATTGATGGCTGATTTGTCTGAATGCCAAGCTTCCAGGAATTCCCTAGCATTTTGGATTTGGATTTTGAATTTTTTGGAAATCAAAAATAGTATGTATACGTGCTACTATACACAGACAGTCAGCATTTTGCTTCTGTCCTAGGTTTTTTATTGTCTCTTTTGAATGACGTACAGTATAAATGTGGTTCATCTCTATGTGTCTATTGATGGCTGATTTGTCTGAATGCCAAGCTTCCAGGAATTCCCTAGCATTTTGGATTTGGATTTTGAATTTTTTGGAAATCAAAAATAGTATGTATACGTGCTACTATACACAGACAGTCAGCAAACCCCACACTCACTTGCACTGATGATGTTACCTGAACATCATGAAACATCTGCAAGCAAAGAGCCAAGCTCAGAGAGCACCAAGGATTCCACAGAAAAGGCTCTGTTTCATCAGAGAAATTTAAGTGAGTCCTGGAAGGTCAACCATCAAGGATATTGTAGTACCAGATTTTGTACATTTGCTGTGAGGCTGCAACAAATTACCACAAAGGTACCTCAGACTATGATACTAATTTCCAAGCTCTACTCTGAGCACCAGGAATGGGTAACAAAGCACTTTAAGTCTGCATATAGATCTGACCCGAGTTTTCTATGCAACTGCAAATTAAATTGTGTAGGAAAGGCAGGAAAAGACACGTTCTTAAACTGTTGTGAGACACTATGGTAGGTTCTTAGAGAAAAGTTGGGAACTGAAGCTTTACAAATCCTGCTCTACAACCTGTATTAAATAACTGGATCCACTCTTAAAACTATGTACCGTATCTCTGATTGTAATGATATGTGCCCTGTATGCATACTAATAACAACACTTATTCAGAAAGCAAATATACATTATTGTAGATGGAGTCAGACCCAGATTAAAATGACATATCTCCATCCAACTAAATAATGAAAGGCTGCCAAATTCATTCCTATAACAATCTGTGATCTCATATGTTTTGATTAAATATACTGAATAAAATGAGAAGGGGGGGGGAAGCATTTTTGTCTTAATACTACAACTGAAAATAGCTTTAAAAATTCATGGTTTAACTCCTCCATTACAAAGAAGTTGATTAAATAGTATTAATGTCAATACTCTAGGTTGGATCCAGATATTGTTCTCACTGGAAGCCAAAAGTTAGATCATAAGGTCTACCTTCTCACACTAATTTTAAAGGGATCCAAATGTAACATCTGAGATCTACACTTCTTCAGCCTCTAACTTCTAAAGATCAGACCTGATGAACTTACACCTTTTTATAAGTGGTGACTGTGATTGGAAATCATTCCCTGACATCTCGGATGCGTCTGGGCTGGTGTAGTTGCTCCATTACAAAAAATATTTCATTCTCCACATGCTTAAGCAACTTTGTTCAAAGTCATTACTTCACCTTCTCTGGCATCAGATCTGATTCCTTGCATTGAAAGCAGGTTATAGATCTAATCTTATTTAAAAGAACTCTTATTGCAATACAGTTAAATTTCCCTTTTAACCTTTGTTAAAGTGTTAACCCTTGTTAAAATTCACTCCCTGTTACGAGGCAGTGGTTCTATTCTTGCATTCAAAAATGGAGCTAAAAATGAAGACAAGCCCATTTGATCTACAGTAGCATTGTTTTCACAAGCCATGATGGAAGGATCAAATGTAGGGGTATACAACTTTCTTTATGCTGAAGGCCATACTTGCTCTTTGAATAACACACCAGGGGCTACACTCCAAAAAGCAGCCAGGGACTGGCCAAAACGATGGGTGGGACTGGCACAAAAACTAAGTTTGATTTCATTTACAATTGAACAAAATTATGATGATTTTCTATTTATAAAATAAATGGAGGTAATAGATTACCCCCTGTGCTTTAATAATTTCCTCCTTTCTATACAATGAAATATTTGGTGGATTCAGCAGTCTGGGGAGGAATTCTATGGGCCACACCCAAAGCTTTTGGGAATCATAAGGCATCAAGTTGTGCACCTCTATTTGAAAGACATCCCAAATCCTGAATACGTATGGCTTATCTAATAAGCATGGCTGTCTGCCGCAATAACTAACAGATGCATGACGGCTTGAACAAAGCATGCATGACTGTAGTTATTCCTGTTACACGAGATGTTCTAAATCCAGCAGCTGCACTTCCCAGTATCACAGCCACTTCTTCTGTCTTTTCCAGTAGTCCTGATATGCGCACATACATCTGATATGTCTTTCACCATTTTCAACAATCTTCCCAAAGTTAGGAGCAGACCCAAAGCCTACACCAGCATTTCCTGACGTATGCTCTTCAGAGGAGTGGGTGCTTCATGTTCTAGAGCAGTATTTCTCAACTTTGGAAACCTTAAGATGTGTGGACTTCAACTCCCAGAACTGCCCAGCCCAGCCCAGCCCAGCCCAGCCAAAGAAAACAACTTTCTAAAGATCACACCATCCTCCTTTGGAGCACAAAAATAACCACAGATCTATGTAAGAAATAATTTAACATGGTAAGCTGAAATGAAAAAGGCCCTCTGTATTTGTCTGTACAGTGAGACTCTTTAAAGTGCACTCGGAGCTCAGTGGATGATCTGGGAGCAGCAAAAGCCACAGATGTGTCCCACTGAGTGAGCACAGGGACCCAGTGAGAGGTGACAGGGACCCTACGGGCAGAAGTGAGAGAACAATTTTTCAACACACGCTGTTCACACCCATCTAGAAAGGTATTTTCTCCTTTGTTTTAAAGCCAGCATTTAATATGAGCTGGTGGATTCCAGCCGATTTTGCAGCATGCTTTCATAAAACTGAAGGCTCCATGTCAGAAAAGAGTATAAAGATGAAATGACATCATGCAATGATTTTTTCAGAAATACTGAGAGTTCTGCTGTCTTTTCCCCCCACTATGTTGTGGTTATTTTTGCATTAGATTTGGAGTTCAGAAATCCATTTATATCCTCTGCTCTTCATTTTTCCAGATTTATTCATATCTAGAGTACATTTCAGCAGTTTGAAGAATTTTGCAAAGAGTTTACATATTTGGCTACAAATGCTATTAATAAGTGTATCAGATTAGGAGACAGAAGGGCATTGAAAGTTTAGCCTTATGAGAAAGGAAAATATCTTTGCTGGCCCCTGGCTGGAATACTGACTGTGAAAATGGAATATGATGTTATTTGAAGTTCCCAGATATTTATCATTAATATATTACTGCAAATACATATTTTTGTATATTTACTTTCAAACAATGTCTAGTTATTAAGCAGTTATTTGACATGTAACACCTTACTCCTGCACTTTTTTCCTTCTCAAAAATATCTTCTTTCACCTTTTACATGAACAGTATAAAACTTCCACTGTTCACTGAACATATTATTTTAGAATTAAATGCGATTTGGAGTTCTGCAGAACACAGAAGAAAAAATTCATCTGGAAGAGAACCAGATTAGCTTGTTGATGAAGTGATCAGGCAAATGTTCCTAAGCGGATACCGTAACATCTAACAAATACTGTGACAGGTGATAGTGTACATTCTCTCCATATTATGGGGCTATACAGTATGTTAACAGTGATGAGGACAAAGACAGCTTGCTATCAATCTTTTTGCAGTCAGTGATAGATCTGGAGAAACATCTACTGGCTATCTGGTATAATGGCAGGAAGGCAATCAGCTCAAAGGGCAACAGTCAATGCCCAGAACACCATCTTTTTCATTAGAAGAATACAGCACTCCCTTCCAGTAGAGGCTGGCTGTCCACTTAACACAACTGCTATAAAAACCAAGGAGTTTTTATTTTTAATCCTATTTTACAACTGTCATCATAGACCCATCCTGATTCTCTTGACTACAATCACAAACAAAATATTAAATGTTTGGTCAACCATTCACACATAAACAATTTTTACTAGCAATTATAAAACGTTATATTATAAAATTAGTGTTAATTAAAAAACAAGAAAACACTACACCTTTACATCTCTCACAGCATGTTCCTCTCTGCTTAATAACCAGAGCACACGTCTTCGAAAGTACAGGACACTTCTCGCGTTTGCATGTCACTTCCTTGTTCTGTCAGGTGCAAAAATAGAAAGTAAAATATATATAAATAAAAATCTAATGTTACTCTCTGTTTTCTGTCAATAAAGTCATATTTGGGGATTTTCTCCTCTCTCAGCAAGTAATATTTGAGACACAGAGAAGACATGATTACTCCCTTCATGAAAACAACAGGTACTGCTCTTTTTTTGAATCAGACATGCAGCAGAGGAGAGCTGGAAAATCAGAAAGAGAAGTATAGTTATGCCAATGGAAACATGTGAATTGTTTCATGTTAATGCTACTTTTCAGTATACTGTAGAAATGATAATATTTGTGTAAACTATAGAAGGAACTTTTAAGCTACCTGGTCCAGGACTTCCTTGTGTGAACAAAAATATTTAGCCATGGCTATTCAACAGGTCTATGTATTATAAAATAAATAACCAAAATAAAGAGAACGATGGTTTCTGTGAACTCCATTCTACTAAAAGGAAACAAAAATTAAAACAAGTGCACTGCAATTCAAGAAGACAATCCAGGCAACACAAGGAACAAGAAGCACTATTGATTTCAAAGGTAAAAATTAAACATGATGTTTTGGCATTGTAAGGCGAAAAACGATCCTCAGAATGTCATGGGCACATGGACTTCCCCCTTCCTTCTCCAAACGGAAGGACAAGAGTTTCTGTTTCTGCTTTGGAAATATATTTCAATGTAACATTTTCATCTACATTCTAAGCTGTGTTTAATCTTAACCATGGTTGTTTAAAACAAGCCACATTCAGAAACTGTAGTATTAAGCTGGCATTTTAGAGGCTCACTGTGGTTTGTTTTCATATTTTAGTATTCTGCCTAAACCAATATAAGTGGTTCTATTTTTATACATAAAATTTGCTATTTGGTTTTCCTCAAAGGATCCCAAGGTGAAGCCACAAAACTTGATAAAGTAGTAGACCTTCATGATACTCCAGCCATTCCATGCATCCCTTCCACCCAAAAGTCACGTATGCTACTCCTGTAAAGCCATGGCCAAGCAACTAAGAACTAGCAAGAATCAGCATAACTAAAGAAGGCAGGCCCTCTATTCTTGTAGTCAACGTCACCAAGGAATTCTCAAGTCATTGCACGAGAAGTCATATATCACAGGTAAGGTCTTGAGCAAACCGTCCCTGACAATTCTCAAAACCCAGAGCAGCCTGTACTGCTGACAGAGATACTTTTTTAAGCATTTGGGTCTTAAGACATTTATGCCTTATTATCAATAACCTGATTTAGACCTGGTGGTTATAGTCAGTGTACTCCATTCAGGATCAGGGCTACATGACCCTATTTATCCTCCCACTTAATAATATTCTACATGCACTTCAGCTTTTGCACCAAAAAGCAGCCACATTAAACTTGATCAGAATGATTATCCTTAAAATGAAGTGTCCTGTGTATGTTCTGTCAACTAAGACCTAAACCAGACCCCATTAATGCAGTGGCATGACAGCTGTATATCTGTGTGACTTAGCTTGTTTCTAATAAAGAAAAATCCAATGGCCAAGGCAGGTGATAATAGGAACCCTAATAATAAAATAACAAAAGCAGTGAATACCTTCTTCAGATCTTTAAGTCTTCTTTGGTATTCATTTCCCAACCTTGCCCTGTGTCATTTCTTTTTAGAAATAAAATTTTACTACTGGAAATTCCTTCCTCAAGCTTGCACGCAGGGCCCCTTTTTGCAGCAAGCCCCAGCTATAATTATGGGTTTGGTCTGTTACATCACACACAAGCCCATATGCCAGATGCCATTGGCCACTTTAATCGATCTTGTGTCATAATTAGAGACCTCAAAAATAGGGTGGGGGAAGAGGAATCAAAGGAGAAAGAAGAATGTCAAATCATAAAACTAAATGAAGAGGCTCTAAGCTACTTTTCTTTGTTTCCTATAGCTTGGGCCAAGGTACTTCTGAAAGATAACTCAACATTTTTAGCGCATGTGAACCTCCTGGGTTTTTTTAAAGAGAAAATAAATCCCACTTCCCAACTATCGCACTATGTCTTATTCCTTCTGTGTCTCTTAATTATAAAATATGATTCACTACCCACTAAGCAGGCCAAATCTGCAATTATTTCAACAGCAATGAACATAAAGGATGAACATGAAGAATGTGAGTTTTCAAACAGCGTGCTGCTATCAGAATAGTGTCTGCTCTGATTCGCACATGTGTTCTTCTGGATATGCTGCGAGTCTCTTCATCTATGATGGTGGTTTTATATTTGTATCGATATTATTCTGACACCTGAGGTCAAGAATCTATTTTTTCCAAAAATGGGAGCAATGTCAGAGACCTGAAAATCAGCCAGGAACAGAAAGGAATTCCTGATGGCTTAAGAGGACTTTATTATTTTTTACACTTCTACACCATCCTAACTTCTCATGTCTCAGGGTAGTTTAAGTTCTTCTTTCATTGATGTAAATATCAGGCTGATTATCTCTCCACCACTTAGATGGCTAGTGTAGTAGGGGCTCAGTAAATTATGCAAGCCAGATCCTTAGTGAGACAACTCAATCCTGAAGCATTCACATCCCAACAGAGATCAGACTCCAATATATTTTAGGAATTGCATTCTAATAACAGTCTCTATGTTGTAACTCTTGAGTAAAGTCTTTTTCAAGTTGAGTTCAACTTTTGATGACTGTGTGGGTTCTCCATGTTGTTTTCTTGATAGCAGTATGGAAGTGGCTTCCCAGGACCTTCTTCCAGCATGCTTTTTGAACTTCCCAGTCCAGCCTACAGCCCCAGGATTTACTAAGAGTTCCCTATCTAAACTTAACCAGATCTGACTCTCTTTAGGCTTTTTTTAGTTCAACCAAGCTAAGCTAGGTGCTACCACCTGTTTTGACACAATACATTAACTTTGTTTTGTTCAAATAGCCGGGAACCTTCCTTCAAGTTTTCTTTCATTTTCCATAATCTATTAATTGTTCTGTCCTGGCCCATTCTGGATTTAGCTTCAGAGACATTTTTTAAATTGTTCTGAAGCCTATAAACAACCAGTAATTTGACAACCAGTAATTTTTTGCCATGGTACCCAGAATGTTTGTAGGTATAGATGATTAATACAGGGTCACATAATCTCCACTCCATTCTTCATAATTATTTCCTACCAACGCAACTATTCCATTTTGGCGCTTATATCACATTTTCAACTCTAAAATCTCATTGCCTCATTTGACCAGGGAGATCCATGTCACTTTGCATGTAACCATTGAAAAAAACACTGTTTCCTGCTGAAAACTTGTTTCCACATGTAATGGGGTGATACCTGTGGCTTCCCAACTTTCACTATTGCTGCCTTGCAGGAATCCGCACCCTAAGCACCAGTTGCTAGTCATACAAATAGTAATGGTGCCAAATGGGAGATTTAGAACATTTAGGAAAGGCAGGCTCTTAGCAGAGGTCTCAGCCATGTATAAATATTTAGCCTTGCTTCAATCTCCTTATCCCTGCTATAAATACTAGAATTCAAAAATCCAAGGAACTTTAGAAATATCCCCTATTCAGCACTTTCAGGACAACACAATGGTTAAAAGTGCTTGAGCAACTTGAGAATTCTGCCTTTTTGCTATGCAGAGTAGTTTGTGTCTTTGGCATGCACAGTTTGTTGATAAACTGATTTAAATTGTTCATTACCACCATTTCTTCAGAAGGTAGAGTTGGGGTTCTTCTTTACTAGAGCCTTGTGGCACTGCTGAAATCCTGACTTTCCATAAATAGCTGGAATCAGAATTAAAATAGAGGTTTCCTCCAGAATTGATCAATATATAATTCTATTAATTAGCAATCTCCTAATCTATGTTCCCTCCACTTTTAAAATTATATTATCACCCAAGGGGGCAAGGATGGTATTTTTGGCCTGATTTCTACTCATTTTTCGTTAGGGGAGTTTTATATGACCATATGTCTACCAGAGGGTTAGCACATTATACATCTCCTAAGAATTAGGAGGAAACTGAACCATCTTTGGGAGATTCTGGGTATCCTTCCCACCCCCACCAAAAAAAGATGGAGGGCTACCTGGGCCTGCAGCCTGCAAGTTGCCACACTGCTTTAAATCCATCTGTGTAAAGACAGTTGTATGTTTGTTATATATTTCAGCACCACTGATGTCACTGTCTGTAGCCAACAGATGGTCATGATGTTTATGCAACCATATTCTGCACTACAATTGAAAGTCAGGCCTCGGTTATGAATTAAATTCTCCCACTGTACACTTAATGATGGTTTGAGTGGCAGGAGATCTCTAGTTTGAAGATTCCCTACAGCTATGCTTCTAGACTTAATGTGTGAAAAAACAAACCCTTTAGAACTGCCTCCTTTGTTTGGTTCCACCATTTTTCCCCCTTTCCTTTGTAGCTCTTCTGGTCTACATTTCTTTTATAAATGTATTCTTGAACCTGCCCAAAGCTGACTGTAATTACCTATATATTACCACCCCCAAGGGATGAATTCATTAAGGCCAGTCCACACTCTCTTCACCAAATTATTGATGCTAAATTTCATTGCTTCCAATTAAACCCCCCACTGCTGAACCTCATACATAAGGAGAAGTGCTGTATTATCCTAAGTGTGGGCATGCAATGTTATGGTCCTATTCTATCTAGCCAAAATGACTTGCCAATGTTCCAAATTTAATTGAGCATTAATACAGTGAACAAACAAAAACTCTCTCTATCTTCCCTGTCTGCCTCATGAAGAGGTCTACACAGGTTGCAAACTTGCACGACTTTCTGCCAACATAGAACTGGCTCAAAAAAGATATTGTATTACCTATTCTACTATTTCAAAAGAGCTGCTGAATATTCATCCCTTAAAACAAGCATGTGTAATTCCATAGAAACCCTTGGAAGAATGCCCATTTTCTGCTCCAGCTAGATATGATCCTTAAACCGTTCCAGAATATCCTTTGAAAAAAGTTATGGTCTAACATGATTCATACCATGTAGGCAGTATCTTCAGAAATGTCAGGAATTGTAAAATGTG